AAAAAAATTTTTAAAAAAAGAAGAAGCAGCACAGCTCCAGGCCTGCTCACTCATCCGAGGGCTCAGCCCTGTTCCCCACTGTCCACTCTAGCCTAGTGATCTCTCCTGTGATCAGCTTGTTTTACTGAATCATACCACCCCACTGCTACACCACCTTCATTGGCTCCCCAAGGCCTGAGTGATACTCTAAACACCCTAGCCTGGAAACAGAAAACTTTTCATAATCTCACCTCACTAGACCTTTGCAGAGTCATCTCAACACACATCTCACATGCTGCAGACACTGGAACGACACCTTTTTCTTCAACATCCCACTGAATTTCTGCCAAACCCCAAAAACAAACCCACTATCGTCTAGTTAATTCTGATTCATAGCAGCCCTATAAGGCAAAGCAGAACTGAGCCCATAGACTCTCTGAGGCTACCAGCCTTTATAGATGCAGACTGCCATATCTTTCCTTCTGCTCTGGATCAACTGGCTGGTGTATCTGAGCTGCCAACTTTTCATTTAGCAGTTGAGGGCTTTAACCACTGTGCTACTAAGGCTCTAATTTCAGCCTGGGGAAGGAATTAGCATATGTTGTGTTGTTATGGACAATCAAGTCAGGCCCAACCCATAGCTGACACTCCAGCAGGTTTTCAGAGGCAGCTAATCCCACGGGAGATTATCCATCCTTCTCCCACAGGGTAGCTAGTGGCCTCAAACTGCATGCCTTCAGGATGGCAGCACAGGTTCTTGCCATTAGACTGCCAGAGATGGCATTTAGTATGGTACTGAGCTAAGATGAAAAGATCACCATTTTTGTCATCTGCATCACAAAAAAATATAAATTCATTAGCTCCTACTCTGTTAAGGTCTTCCAAGGAGCCCTGGTGAGGTAGTGGATTTTGCATTGAGCTGCTAAACAAAAACTTAGTGGTTTAACTCCACCAGTCACTCCACAGGACACAAATGAGAAAGTTTGCTTCCATAAAGAGGAAACCACTCTCCTCTGTACTGTTTGTGTACTAAAGAGTCATTATTCATCAGAACTAACCTGAGGGAAATGGGTTTGGTTTTGAGGGAAGGAGATGTGTAATGGTAGTGTTAAGACTGCTACAGATATACCACAGAAAGCTCCATGGTCTAAAGTAACTAGCAACAACACCAAAAAGAACTCAACAAATTGATAGCAATAAAAACTAACCTTTCAATAGTCACACTGAACGTGAATGGTTTAAACGCACCACTGAAGAGAAAGAGAGTAGCAGATTGGATAAAAAAACAAAATCCATCAATATGTTGTCTACAAGAGACACACCTG